CTCCCATGGGCGCAGCATCCTTCCCCCGGCGGGGCGGGATCTCGCAGCATCCCCCCGCCGGGTGACCTGGCTGGGGACCCCGAGGGGACCGCGGTGGTCCCCGTGGAGGGCGGAGGGGACGGGGTGAGCCTGTCCCCACGGTGGGGTGGCTGCAAACATCGGGGGCGGTGTCAGACACCCCAGCAGCACCAATTCCTCCCCTAGGCAGCGCCGTGGCTGCCTCCAGAGGGGCTGAGGGGCAAAGCTTTCCCATCCTGAGCCTGAGCTGGGCACGCTGGGAGGGTCCCAGAGCTTGGGATCCCCCCGGGACCACCGGCCCTGGCTGTACCTGTGGCGCAGGAGCAGCGTCCTCATGACATCGTCCCTGTCCTGCGGCTTCAGCTGCCCCTCGTAGATCAGCTGGTCCAGGACGATGTGGACGATGGCCGGCAGCGCGTTGGCCTCCACATCGAGGAGAATGGCACCTGTGGGGACAGCAGTGTCACCAGCCAGCCAGCGCGGGGCCCTCGCCACCCTCCCGCTGCGCTCCAGAGCTGTCCCCACCTTTGCTCAAAGCCCGGCGGATCTCCAGGAGGCTGTGGTAGGTCAGGAAGGAGAGATGGGGCTGGCTCCAGTCCCCTGATTCCTGGAAGTCCTCCTCCAGCTGGAGCCAGTGGCCGGCCTCCATCCAGCACAAGTCCTTTGCATTGTCCAGGACCAGCTCGTGCAGCTCCACGTATCCCTGCAGCCGGAGGTGCAGGGGTCAGGGTGTCCCTGGCCACACTGGGGACCCCCGGGACGCTCAGCATCCCCCCACTATGGCCTGGTACCCCCAGGGCTGAGTTGTGAGGTTGGTCCCAGGGTCGCCACAGCCCACCCACCCCAGAATGGGGAGGGAATGGGGGTCCCTGGGGCAGCACCCACCTCATGGGTGTCCTGCTGGGACAGGAGCCTCCTGCTTCCCCCTGCCTCCAGGTCCACATCGGTCACTGACACAGCTGCAAGTGGAGCCAGCACTGTGTTAGCTGGTCCCTGCCCCAGCCCGGAACCCCCCGGGTGTGCTTGAGGTGCCTTCTGTCATCACACCCGTCCCAGCCCCCTTTGGGGTCACCTGGACGTGTCCCCTGCTCCATCATCCCCAGCCCTGCTGGGCGCTCGCTGGCTGTGCCCCACCCCAGGCCCAGCTGGACTTTGCTGGACGCCCCCCTCCGCCACCTCTCGCCCAGCCGGTGCCCCCCTCGGTCCTGTCACATCCCCACAGCCCGGCTCCTGGGGCAGGGTGACAGTCTGGGGACATCACCGGAGCACGGGGCTCGTGGCCACCGCCCCGCCACCGGCACAGCCCCAGGACCGAGCACGGCCACTGGAATGGGGACCCGGGGACAGCACATCCCCGGGCAGCCTGAGCCCCGAGCTGTCCCTGT